CGTTTCCATTTTACCATTTACATTTTTACCCACTTCCTTACCCACCATCTAGCATGCAATTCTAGAGGCGGCCAGTGGGCGTGGCCATCTATGTACTGCTGGATTCTTTAAGTTATAGCAGATTTCGCTCCAAAGGAGCGTTAATTAAGAGAGCCATGTGTTGTGGAAACCAGCAGGTGCGGAGGATTCAGGACACTTTTTACCACCTTAACTGGAACACGAAAATTCCTGATAGCCAAAGAATTTGATCTGAAAGAATCTGAATGTCGTGTTAGTTCTTTGCACTTCCATAACATTTCCTTAAAGCTGATACCATGGTAGAAGTAGAAATAAATGTATTTGCTAACTTAAAACTTGCATCCATTTTATCTATAAATTGCACAAGTTACGTTGCCTTCTTAAACAATTTACTTTGGTTCGGTATTAAAATCTACCCTATTTGAATACGGCCAAAGGAAAATATTTAATAAACTAATCGATTAACAAATATTTTTACGAGGAGTTTGTGTAGCTGCAACTTCAAGGCAAACAGACTACAGAACACAGAACACAAAGCAGGACATGCAGTATCCTTGCGTCAAACAAACAGTGTTTGCCCTCATTTGTTTGTTAATTTCTGGTTGTTGCAAACGGCAAACAAACTAAATGCTTAAACGATTTAAACTGGACGCGGGCGGCGTTCAATTGGGAAAAAAGCGTCAAAAAGCGGCAAGTAAATAAGCATATTCTGGCGGCAAGCAAACAATTAAGGCGGAAAAAGGGCCAAATGAAAACGAAAGAAGGAAAAAAGCGGCGGGAAGGACGGGCGACGGGTCAAATTTTATGCAGGCGCAAATATTTTAAATGTTAACAATAAAACATGCGCACAGTAAATAAATGCACATGTGAGTGTAAACAGGCTGCAGGCCTGCAAACACACAAACACACGCACACACGAACACACACAAGCACACAAGACACACTGGCAAACAAACGGACGAACGGCAGAGCCTAAAAGTATGCAATAACCCCGGGAAAACCCCCGGGAAACCCGCTGGAAGGGAAATTCCCTTGCAGAAGGGAAACCCCTCGCCACATTCAAACAAAAACCGCTTAAAACACTTTACTATCGCATTTTGAAATTGTTCAAATATTTTCGCCCTTCTTTTTGTGTCGCTTGTTGCTGTTCGGTTGCTGCATTTTTTCTAGCCATACCTTCTTCCCTCTCGCAAACACAAACAATTAAAATCCTCAAATATTTGCGCCAACTGCAAAAAACAAATGTGAACTCGATGTGCAAAGAAAGCAGCACGGCGAAAAATAAAAGAAACGGCCAGCGGAAAAGCTGGGGAAACTGGGAAAGCGGGAAAGCGGGTACGTTACGTTGCAGTTGCAGTTCAAGTTGGAGTTGGTCAGCAATTTCAGCAGATAAAAGTAAAAATAAAACTGCTGCCGCTTCCGCTTTTTACACCAATTTTGATTCATCTGCTCCCTCCTCGACATTCCTCTTCCACCTTTCCCAATTCGCCTTGCATTTTGTTTTTTATACGAAAGTGTTTACTACCCTGGCGCACATGTTGTCTTCTTATTTATTTTATTTATTTAACAAAATTAAATCTAGTACATATATAATACTAAATCTAATGGGTTTCTTAAAAGAGTACTAGCTGCTATGGCCTACGACTCGAGACTTAGTTAATTATTTACACTACTTAAATATTTTCTTAATGTTGCTTTATTCATTTGCAAACGTCAGCGGCAACCATACTTAAATCCTGTCTTACAAATTCGTAATTTTGATACCCTTTTAGAGGGTAATATATGTTTAGTCAGAAGCTTGCACCTCATTAAAGGAGACTCCCCAGATAGAGTATATGAACTCTTGATCAGCATCACCACCTGAATCCATCTGGAGATTTCCGTCTGTCTGCTGCTATGTAAACTCTCTTAAATCACTATTCAAATTTTATGAAAATCGGATGTCTATATCATATAGCAGCGATAGAAAAGAGCGGATCATTTATATAAAATTAATGGATCAACAAATAGTTACGTTGTTTCGCTAATGCATTATTTTGAAAGCCTCGAATGCTGTAGCTACTCTTGAAATTTTTGTAAAATGTTCATATTTTAAGAGTCGTTAAAAAGTTTATATTGTAAAAATCAAGCAGCGAGCAAGCTTTTAAATTGAGGGACTAGTACAGACTGCAAACGTACTTGTCCAGATTGATTCAGATTATGATGTTCATAAAGATTAGTAAATAATTACCTTTTATATTCCTGAAGAAATGGTTTTGTTAAAATTACAACCATTTGAATTACTGTCTTCCTCGTCATTATTAATTACTATTATTGTGATGTTATCTTTTCTTTTAATAATTGATCAGATTTCTAAGCTATATAATATGTACTGTGCGTGCTGAATTAATTGAGAGTGACGCTTTGTTATACCCTTGCAGAGCAAAAGGGTATTATAATTTCAGTCAGAAGTTTGCAACGCAGTGAAGGAGACACCTCAGACCCCATAAAGTATATATATTCTTGATCAGTATCACGATCAGAATCCAAATACGTCTGTACGTCTGTCTATCTGTCTGTCTGTCCGTCTGTCCATCTGTCCGTTTCCGCGCAAACTAGTCTCTCAGTTTTAAAGCTATCTTGCTGAAACTTTCCCAAAAGGTGTGTAGTTATTGCACGCAGTATATAAGTCGGAAAGGGCCGGATCGGCCGACTATATCGGATAGCTCCCGTACGAGGGAATGAAATAAAAAATTCTCACGCCGTTATATAGCTGCCATAGAATAGATCAAAAAATATATATATAAATAATGGAACAAAAATTATAACATCGTTGTTTTTAATCCCACGAACATGATTTTTAGAACAACAAGTTAAATACCTTTGAATCGAGAAAAAAATTTTATAAAAATCGAACTACTATATCCTACTACTTTCCTTTCTTGTTTGTTTATGCCATTTGTGCTTTGGATTTCTGTGTATCGTGGCATTATTAAAGTTGATTTGGCTGTTGTGTCGAGAAATACCTTTGTGATATCAATAAAAAATCGAACCGAATCAAATCAATCAGAGTCCAGTCAAACTTTTCGGCGCATTACATTCAACTATTAGATTTGTAGATACATTCTATAAAATATTATTGAATACGCCCGAGAGCTGCCATTGAACTTTTAGCTCTTAGAATGTGCAAATTTGCACAATTACCTACATTCAATGAAAAGCAACATGGCTAGGTTCAAGTAGCCCGAATTAAATACGTCTTCGGTCGGCCCATATTTGCTAAAAGGATTCTGTCATATTTTCCATCGGCTGGCTGCATCCGAAATGCCGGACTCGAATGCTCGATTGGAGTGGCTTCGATGTTGATAATTTGGGCTAATCGATTTCTCTGACCGGCTTGCATGTGTCGGGAGCTCATGCATTGAAAACTCAGCTTTTCCGGGTCCATCAACGGCACACAAAAAGCCAGAACAGCCGCACGGAAATATGTACTATACATACGACGAGTACGTATATATTTAATTCGGAATGTGGGGATGTGGATTTAGCATTAGCCGGAGAGTTTTGCATTTGACGCCGTCACGTGGCTGCTGCTGCTGCTGCTCCTCTCCTCCTGGCCACATTTTCTTGCTCTGGTTTCCCGCTTTCCCGCTTTCTGGCTTTCCCCAGGAAAAGGGAGACGACATCAAATCATTAGCAGTGCATAAAGCGTGAAACCAGGAACAGACATGCAGATGAATTTAAACTATTAGCAGTGGCAGACGAAAGAATGGAGCGAACCGGCTCTGCCAACAATGTCGGACTCTCATCCGCCTGCAAGGTGCATCCATCGTTAGGCATCTGAATTCGGTTGGGAATCTCTGGCTTGGTCTTACACTGCCAAACTGATTAGTTTCGCATATCGATCTGAAATGCTAGTATATACAATTTAATATTTTTAGCTAACTTTGTTGAGCCCATATTGTTTCTGTTAATAAATCATGACAATTCGAAGGGCGAAATTCAAGTGCTGAACTCAGCACCCGTTTCCGATTCGAGATCATTTCTCGCAGTGCACTCCGCGTCCTTCCCCCGGGCTTTTCCCTCGGCAGCTCTGGTCCTGGTTCTGGTTGACATAACCCTGCACATTGTTATAAACGCAATCTTCACTTCCTCCCTTGGCCTTTATTTGTGTCGTGTGAATATAAAAGATGCAAATGCAAAGATATTTTTTCCATTTTCCATTTTCGTTTTAGGCTGGAGGGGAAGTGGGGTGGGGAAGTGGGGGGGTGGGGGTGGGGATTCTGTGCCGGGTTGCGGTGAGTGCAACGTTCTGGGGCAACATTGTCGCACAGTTTCATCCATTGTGTGTGAACGGGTCTGTGCAATATAAATAACTCGGCCGGAGTTGTGTGCATATTTTGTAACTACAACTTTAAATAAATACAAAATGTTAGTTAGTTCCTCGGCTGCTGGCAACCATCATTTGACCTACGCAAAGCACACATTCACACACACACACACACACACGCAAATCGAAAATATTTGCACAGCTCCTGTTTGTGTTTGTGTTTGTGTTTGTATTTGTATTTGTGTTTGTACTTGCATTCTCTATTTAGTTTTTACGAAGCAAATCGAGCTTAAAGGTTTACACTCTGATCATCGCATTTTCATCCAGTTCTCATTCTGCACCAGTGGCTTCACCATAATCAGTGTGGAATGTGTTGGCTAAATCGCATTTGCACATTCACTCGGAGTTATGAGTTCTATTTGGAAAGTATATTTAATGAATGTTTTTGAGGAGTGTCAGCAGTTATTCAATAAAGTAAAGCTATAAATTACTTACTCATTAATATGCCCAAAAGTATGGCATTAAATAACGATTTTTTACCACAAATGTATTTTTCTGCTTACCTCTACTACAATATTTACTTTCAGCTGAAAAATAAAGTGGAATATAGGTGTTGGCACTTTCAGACTTACCATTTCAGACTAAAATTGATTGTAAGCTTATTGGGTTTCCATAGGTATGTCTCTTTATTTATTTTTCTTTTTTTTCCGACTTTTTTACGGTTTTTTTCGACTGCGTGGTTTTGAATATTCAGTTGTATAATCAGATTTTACAGTACAAACATTTGTTTTCGCTCATTTCTTATGTACATAAACACAAATCCAACTAAATGATATTATATTTATTTTGTTTTGTTGTTTGTTCGAGAGCTATGGAATTTCGCATTATAACGCAGCAAACTTTCGTTTTTGGGAATTTATTTGGAAACTGTTGGATATTCTCATTGCTTATGTAGTTGTCAAATAGTTGTGTATTCATTTTGTTTTCTGGTTTACCTTGGTATGACTGTAGCTTAGACATTGAATGCTTTATGACTTGAATGGTTTCTGGCTTAGTTTGTTATTTCTTAGGTTTTACTATAGTTTAGTTTGCCTGTCTTTATCCACCTGCAAATTCCATTAAATGTAGTTCTTTTATTCTTTTTTCAACAACGCGATCGCCTGGGCTTCCATTTAGATGAATAAATTACTTTCCTGCCTTACACGTGTATATTAAACGTAACTTTGATTTGCTAGGCGATTACGTTACTCTCGTACCCGCAAAAAAAAATATTTCCTATATTTAATTAACTGTATTTATATTTTCATTATATTAAAATGTATTTCTCCATGCCTAACTTCCCCTCCATACATTTGCTTTCTTGGTACGTATATGAGTCAGAGTACATCTGAGAAGTCAGCGTTCAAATGAGTTTTACTAGCCGGGTTTTGGGGCTGTGGAGCTGGATATGCGGATTATACATATGTCTGGGTATTACTGCATTATTCGGATTTGAACACACACATTTATTTTGTATTTACCTCTGCTTACTTTCGCCTTACACACTTCTTTACTGCGAGTTGCTTTTAATGCTTTTGGCACATTTCTTTCTGCGTTTCTGATTTACCTTCCTTTGACTTACGTTATTTTAACATGGAATTGAGCTGAACACGCACACATGAGTATTTTATAAATATATATGTGGGGACTATGGATCGTCTGAGAGTGTGTGAGAGCCCGTAGTAAACGAAACTTTCAAGTCTTGAAAGTGTTGTCAGTGCCAAAGGAAATCCAAGTTGACTCTGGAGATTTTTTAAAGTGCTTCAGAAATCGTTGTCCTCTCTTGTTTCAACGGAGTTACTTTTTAAAAAGATTTCAGTGTACTTTTTCCTACAAAATGTATTCATAGTTCCAAGCCAAAGCCAAACCATCCTCATGGAATTTCTCGAAAGTTGTTAATCAAATCCTCAAATCCCTCTTGTGGCTTTTGGAAATCAGCAGCAATTTAAAATTGTACAAGAGACAATTTTTACATTTTTTAGAAGTTTCTAACTCTGTAGATTCTCTCGGAATCAGCACACAGAAATCTATTCAGTGGGTAAACTCTCGTTATTGTACGTTATATAGTATAGTAATTAGCATTTTTTAAAGCTAAGGATCTCACACACTCTTAGCTGGTTAATCGATTAGGGGATTCCAAAACTGGCTTAGGTCTAGTGTCCGCAATTAGTCTTTTGAGCCATGAGAACAAAGGAGTCAACAAAGGGTCCAACACAGAACCTACTTATCAAGATATCAACGAAACATTCTCGGGATCACTAAAGGCATAAATATTTACAGTTTACGGTTTGCAAAGATCCTCTTAACACTTTCCTCCTTTCCATTTAGCCACGAACTTCTTTCTCTTTGAGCAGACCTTGAATATATTTACAGAACTCTCGATTAAACACCTAATATCTTATATGTATATATATTTCCTCTAGAAAAACTGAACGAATCAAGGTCGGAATAAATGAAAAATAACTTCGCTTATTTTGTAGACATCTAGAAATATCCGCGCCAATGTCGTAATCGTGTTTATTCTTTATAGTACGCCGATATCCTTCTGCAGTCGTACTGTTTGTTTACTTCTAAAGCCATTTAAAGAACCGAACACCATTTAATCTCGATATTGTTTATAGTTGATTTGCTTCTGCGGGGTCGGGGTCTGCTGCCATCCTTTCCTTTCATCATTTTCCGCTAACGAGGTAACATTTAAACGCGTTTTCTTTTTCACTTAACTACGACACTTTAGTTTATATCTTCCTTTTGATTTGATATGCACTCAATTAGCCCTGCCCCCGCCCCCGCCTCCGCCCCACCCCCTTGCCCCCTTCCAGTCAGCAGTTGGCATGGGCGCAGATGATTAGCTCCGGGCTTCCCGGTGGCATCCCCATTTAATTAATGCCCGCTTCCTCCTGGCTCGTGTGTGTGTGTGTGTGCCTGTGTGTGTGTGTGTGTAAGTGGAGTGTGGAGGAGCAGGACGAGGGGCAGTAGCTCCTTGCGTCATAATCGTGTTCGTTTAATTACAATTGAATTAAGCTATCATAATCTTACTCTGCCGCCGCTGCCCGTCTCCAACTCGGCGTCGATCTCTTCCAGCATTGGCTCCCCTTCCCCTTCTCCTCCGCCATCTCCATCTCCTCCTCCATTTGCCTTTGCTGCTTCTCTTGGTGCTCCTTGGCCTCCTTTTGTTTGCCGGCCTTTGTGTGGCAGGACAATGATGATGATGATGATGCCCCGGCCTTCGCCACCGCCGTTAATAATACCAATAAGGCTAATAGAAATGTTCCGATTAGCCGCCTTGTCCCGCGCCCGCGGACCGCTCCACTCCCGCTGGCCGGGTGCTGATCCTGGGCGCGGTCCTTGTAGAGCCTTCCGTTCTGGTTGCGTGACCCGTCCTCGCTGCGCGTGTCCTTCTGCACCACCTCGTTTTTCTGCGGGATGAAAGAAAGTGGGTTTCGTTCCGTCTGATTGTTTTCTCTCCGCTTCTGGTTGAGGTCGTGAAACATTAATGAGCTCCCAGGATTGGAGGGGGTTCTTTGAGGGGCTTAAGGGGTTCGGGGGCTTGGGGGCTTGGGAGGGGGAACAACAACTTACCGACACTTCGTTGAGATCGTCGTCGCGTAGAGTTTTCTTGCCGGGTCGCTCCATTTCTGAAACCACAGCGAAATAAAAGAAGCCATCAAATTAAAAGTTTACTTTAAGTCTAGATACAAACAAGAGAGAATGCTTAGCTGAGTTTCCCGACTATTAGATACCCTGTATGTATTTATTAAATGAAACTTTTCTTAAACTTTTATTTCCTTCGTATTCATCTTTAGGAACTGTATGCAAAATCCTTCAAACAGAAAATTGGACATTCCCCCAGGATTGGTGGGTGTAAAAGTGGGCGTGGCAAATTTGAAAAAAGCTCAATTCGCTGCGTATTCCTGAGTAGAGTCCAAACATATTATCATAATTTTTGCGGTTTGTGGATTAACAAATCTACAGTTCTAGTCCCAATATTCTAAACAGACAGACAGACATACATAGATCGACTTGTCTGATGATCCTGATCAAAAATCTATATATACTACAGAGGGTTGTAAGGGCTCCCTTCAACCTGTTACATACTTTTCGATTTTAAACATTTCTGCACTTACTTCAATATTTAATAATTTGTTGTTTTAATAGATTTAACAAAAAGAAAAATCTTCATAGGCTAAAGTTTTAACTGCAAGGGTACAAACGTTTTGGATCACCGAGGTTAGCTTCCCTTATTGTTTGTGAGTTTTATATGAAATTATCATTTTTGAGTTTGTATTTTCCTAGCGCTCAAAATCTGTGTTTCTCACAAAATACGGCTCTTGTCTTATAAGATGTTCTTTCCATTTGAGAAAATCGAGATTTTTGAACTAAAATAAGCTACTTGTTTATGAGCCTTGTAAATAATTTAGTAGGCAGAGCAGAACCGCTGACAGCATATAAGATCTCTTACCATAAAGTCGAATGGTGCCCTCGGTGTCGCCGATGCTGTTCTTCGAAATGCACTTGTAGCCCCCAAAATCGCTCGATTGCAGCCGCTTGATGTGCAGAATCATCTCGATGGCGTACATGTTATTTTCCTTTTCGGTGAGCGCGTAACGATCGCCGGCAATAATCATTTCGCCTGTTCAAAGCCGGGAAAAGGTGAAAAAGCAGAGACATCGAAATGAGCAGCGATGAAACGCAGATGAGTTGAGATGAGATGAGATGGGATGGGATGTATGGAGATGTGATGGGGCGAGCCAAGTGGAGTTGAGGAGAGGTGTGAATGAAGTCATGAATACGAAGCAGGGAGCCCGGCCAAATGAGCTCGGCTTACGTGGGGGAAGGTTGAAAGGTGAAAGGTGAAAGGGGAAAGGGGCCATGGATGATGACATTTCTGGCATTGCCGTCGAGCGTTCCACGTTTACGTTGCGGCTCCCGTCACGTTTGCAATATACGTCAAATGCACTTGACAAAAGATCCAGTCAGCCAGTCAGTCAGCCAGGACTCTTTCCTCCAAAGCCTCTTCCCCTTTCACCCGTTTCCCGGGGGGACAACAAAATATTTGAGCTTCGAACACGAACCAAATAAAGACAAATTGCGGCATTGAAAGGTTTATAAAGTTTGAACCGGTCCGAGTTTCAACTGGAGCAGATGCTAAATGAAAAATTCGATTGGTGGCCGCCAGTTGCTACAACCACACTGAGGAAAAAAACACTGAGCCGTCGAGAACGGAGGAGTTCTGGCAACATAAGTAATGCGATTCTCTAATTAATCCTTTAAGGAACGAAAACATTTTTGAATACAAAGTTAGGTGGGTTTTAAAAATGAAGACAGTGTGGTCCTTTCAAGCGAAATGTTCGTTGAAATTCTGGAGATTAACAATTAATTTGTGCGAATAGGAATGTTTTGGAGAAGTCAAGTGATCTGATGATGGGAAAGTTGTTTTCGGTGGGCTGGCTTTTCCCACTTACCATTCTCGCGCTGCCAGTAATTGATGGCCTTCGGCGATGCCTCGACGTTGCAAATTAATGTGACATCCGTGAGGACCGGGGCGCCGACCAATTGATTTGGCACTTGAACCAGCGGATGAACTGCAAACGAGAAGAAGGAAAGGGGTTAGTTCGCGGGGGAGGTGGAAGTGAAGGGGGGCGGGTTCTGCTCCCGGTGGCAGCGCCAATTGTTAAGCCATCAGTGGCTGTGACCTTGCCAGCCAGCTTAGCCCCCGGACTAGACTGGCAATTAAGCTGGCCACAAGGGACCGAAGTCAAACTTCAAACCCTTTTGTCCGACTCCGGATTCCAGCTGTGATTTTCCGCCCTCGCCCTCGCCCTCGCCATCGCCATCGCCCTTGCCTTTCGTTGTCGGTTAATGGCAGCGCCAACAACAACTGATACGATTTTAATTGAAAATGAATTATTTTGCTGTTAGAGTGGGGCCAGCAATCCTGCCCAGCAATCAGGATCCGCCGTCCACAGTCCATCGTCCATCGTCCATCGCCCAGTGGTCAGTCAGTGGCAAATAAAACGAGCGAGCATCTCTACGATTTTTTGCCCGGATACTCCCTGTTTTTCAGCTTTTTCCCGCTTCCCGCTCCCTGGATACACTCACTCATCTGGCCAGGGAATTGGCTTACTCGGCCGGAGCAGTGATGATCCCCGAACGGTTTAATGACTTCCCTATTCAAATCGACTTTTGGCGAGGCAGTTATGGCTCATAAGGCTGTGATCTTCCTTGATTTATTGATTATGTAGGATCGTCTTTTTGGAGTTTCAAAGAATAGGAATAAGAATAACACCGTACGGTGATCAACGGTTGTCCATGGCTGACTGGGAAGAACTGTATTAATTTGTTGGTCATATGCTTACTTAGCCAGTATTAAAGTACTAAGTATTGCAGGTTTCGCAGTAATGGCATCTAAAAAGGGCTTTCCAGAACTATATCTAACCAACTATCCTTCAACCAAATGCAATTTATGGTTTTGTCCATCTGTTTTACTTCGGCGGTCATAGAGCATTTCAAGTGCGCCAAGGACGTGGCATTAATTCATCGGGTTTGCCCTTTGGAGCTTTTCCATGTTGTTCGTGTCGTGTTCAGATTTTTTGCGTTACTTTTACATTTTTTGCTAGTTGTTTTTTGTCTTTCCCTTGTTTTCTCTGCCTCCTTTTCCTCCCTCCCCTCGTCCTGCTCCCCTTCTCCTTCTCCCTTTCTCCTTCTATTTTTTCCCTTGTCTTTGACGTTGTCTTGAAGCCGCCCGAGGGAGCGCAGCCGGAACGGCGAAGGACCAAAGGACCGCAGGTCAGAGCCACTGACCATCATTGTTTTTTGGCTTTTCAACTTGCTCCTGCAACCCCGACCACCCCGCTCTTGCCCCTTTCCCCCCTTCCCCCTTTCCCCTTCAGCTGCATTCAAGCGTTCATTATTGGTCAATTTATTGGATTTGTGCATGCCGCACTCTCGGCTCTGCTCTCCATGGAGTCCGTGTTCTCGTCCGGACGGACGGCCATTCCGAACTCCCCCGCAGTTGCAATTGCGCAGCATATGTCATGTGTTGTTCGCAGAGGGAGTCGCCCGAATTGCCGTATTGCCCAATTCCCGCGTTAGCCTACCACTTATTGAAAATTCAATTGCCCTAATAGAGCTTTCCAGTAGTCGGCTGCTGCCAGGCAGAAAAGTTGAAGTGAAGTGGATGTGGAAGTGTCTCCTACTTGTAGCTCAAATGTCCCATTCAGCTGGCCATAATGAAAAGTATAAAAAGCAGTAAATCGCAACGTTCATCAAGTAACCCTAAATTATTTTCCCCCTAATCACAATTATGTAATTATGTAGTTTAAAGAAATAACTTTTCAAAGCTGATAACCCAAGAAGAGTTATAATCATACAATGTGCCAAACGGAGTTTATTATTTTAGGTATTGCATTCCTGTTCGTTGGTCGATCTGAAAACTCGGTAAGAGACTTTTCGAATCTATCCAGAAACGGTGGTGCTCTCGGTGGAGCTGTCGGTGGAGCTATCGGTGGAGCTATCGGTGGAGCTATCGGTGGAGCTATCGGTGGAGCTATCGGTGGAGCTATCGGTGGAGCTATCGGTGGAGCTATCAGTAGAGCTATCGGTCGAGCTATCGGTTGAGCTATCGGTGGAGCTATCGGTGGAGCTATCGGTGGAGCTGCTTTCGGTGGAGGAGCTGTCAGCCAAAGCACTCTCCGTGGTGGTCGAGCAGGGTCTTGGGCGGCGAGGACGACATGGTGGACCCCATGGGCCGGGACCGCCGAAGCCTCCAGGACCACCGAAGCCGCCAGGGCCTCCGAACCCTCCGGGACCTCCAGGGCCTCCGAACCCTCCGGGACCTCCAGGGCCTCCGAACCCTCCAGGACCTCCGAAACGTCCAGGACCGCCAAAGCTGCCGGGACCTCCGAATCCACCAAAGCCTCCAGGACCATCGCGCCGCCCGCCGAATGCTCCCAGGCCTCGAGAACCGCCGAATCCACCTCCGAATCCGCGACCTCCACGTCCACGGCCGCCTCCTTGGGCCACGACCATTGCCACCAGGGCGAGAAGGGTAATTGCAATGTAGGCACGCATTCTCAGACTTTGCTCCAGTCGCAACTGATTTCGACTTGCCAAAACGAAGCTCTTATATAGCAAATAGTCTGGCGGAAAGCCAGATAGCTTCTAACCCAGAAGAATCCCCGTGACGTCAGCTACGTCTGTGTGCTTAGCTGGAGTCTTCGGAGAATGGAGAACGGAGAATAGAGAACGGAGAATGGAGAACGGAGAGCTATGCGTAGAAAGCCGTGAGAGCCTCGAAAAGACGGACACGAGTTCTTTACTTCAAATAATTAGTGTGTGCGCCTTGTTTTTTCCAGATATGTTATACTCTTATTATGTCAACAGCTGGTTGGTGTTTGGACTTGGCCCATTGTTCTGTATTTCCACCCGAAATGTTTGCGACGAGTGGCGGCGGTGACGGAGGAAGAGGTCTGCAGACTACGCAGATTCGGCACTCGGTTAACATCTATCCCAATAAGTTCCCCAAAACAAGCAAAAATAGCGGCAGGAAAACAAAACAATTGTTCAAAATTTGTTTGTCTTTCAATCTTTTGTTTCAAATTGTTTTTCGTTTTACTGCAGACTTTTAATGACTAAATCCGCTTTTTAGAAATGCTCTATCTGCTTTAAAGAGCTAAAATGATGTATGGTAAAAGGTCTCTTGAATGAAAGTTCATGCGAAGTAACCTTGTGGCGAAGTCTGAACTTGAGTTCTACTTGAAGCTGCATGGTACTTTAAAGCTTTTGAAAAACACAATCACGGAGTTCAAGTGTTTGCGACGTGGAAATGGTTTGGCTTTCTCAGCAAGAAGTTTAAAGACGCCAATGGATTTAATCCAACGCCTCTTCTAAGTTCGAGGCATACCTCTGAGTTTCCTCACCCACTTGACGCTAATACCGAGCGGAAAACCTCCGCGGAGCCACTTAATTTTCTGATTAGAATCAATCAGGAGGCCGGGTGGAAAGTGGAAAGTTCGGTTGGGACAAGAGGACTCCAAGGAGGAGTGTGTAGCGTTGAAGCACGGCGGCTTCTCCCGCATTTCGCACATATGGATTTTTAAATTGAAATTACGAGGACCAAAGGCGAAAGGCGGAATGTAGAATGGAAATGAAATGACAAAGGTAAACGAAAGCGAAAACGAATTTGTGGCATAGATAAAATAAAATAAAAATCAAAATTAATTTTTGCGGCAAGGCGGCAATGAACAGAATATATATGTGTGTGTGTGTGTGTGTGTGTGTGGTTTAAAAACTGGCGCCACACTTTCACCACTGTGTCAATATAATTTTCGGATACGATCTTTTGGCTGATGCTGCCCTGCTTTCTTCGCCTCACCCCTCTTTTATTTTCATCGGTGGCCTCTTTTCCCTTAAGTTTTTCTCCTTTTTTCCGTATTTTCCCGCTGTTCTTGCCTTCCCGCTTCCCGCTTGCCAAATTGTCGTCGTTTGAACTTTTGCCCCTTTTGGAAATTTCATTAACTTTGATGCGGGAAGGTAAAACAGTATTAAGGGGGCTGCAGGGCTGCAAACTGCAGGGGGTTTTAAGAGGGTTTTGAGGGGGGTTTTCATGTGGGCAGACAGGGGAATAGTGAAAAACTGCCCTTAACAATTACCACTTCACAGGACACTCACACAGAGAGGGCCACCAAAACACATGAGCTTAAAGTTTTACTGCAGAAACGTGACGTTGCGTTGCCCCAAGAAACCCTTTCCCCCTCCCACACACACATTCCAAGCGAATGTGCCCTTTGACCCCACGTCCCTCAGTTTGGCGCCCTAATGCATTTGGAAAGTTTGCCGGCCGCGTGAAGGAAGCTGCCGGATATCGAAACGGAAACACTTGCAGTTGCCGCCGCTGCGTTATTGCTGCGGTTCTGTTCCCGTTCCCGTTTTCGTTTCCACTTCCACTTCCACTTCCGGTTCCGGTTATAGTTGCTCCAGCAAGGAGCTCCCTTCTGGAGCACGCACATAACATCCGAGCCGGGCTATAAGTTACCATTATGATTATTATGCGGCATTAGCTGCCTTTGGCACCCATAAATCAGGCCATTTTCTTGGCCAACAGCAGAAGCAGCAGCAGCAGGTGGCGCCTCCCATTCATCATGCATCGTATGTGGCCGTGCCACACACACACCCACCCAATATCACACACACACACACAGCAGCAAAGTATAGGGAGTGGTACTCACAGTGCACCTGTAGCTTCATCCGCTTGCTCACCGTCGGCGGGACTCCGTTGGAGGCGATGCACATGTAGGCGCCCATTTCCGATCGCGTGATCTTCGACAGCGTCAGCATTTCGCCCTCCACCGATTGTGCTGTGGGCGGGAGGATATATATTTATATATGGCAGACATGCGGTCGGTTAGTCAGTCCAAAGTGGCCTCCTGCTGCTCCAGCCACGAGGAGCACGGAGCACGGAGCAAGGAGCACGGAGCACGGAGCATGTGAGCTTCCGTGTTCGCAAAGTTCGCTCAAGGTGTTTGTTTGCCTCGAATGTTTTCATGAACTTTGCGAGTGTCAGAATTTGCTTTAATGGCAGCAGTTTGCACATGGCAAATACCTTGGAGGTTCGAACAGCGCTTTACTGCCTTTCCGTTTCCATATTTATAACTCTTTTGCCACTTTGGACTGACTTACTTAGTTTTTGGATTACGATCAAGAGCCAGTGTACTGCTCACCTTTTGTCTTCTGGTGCGAACCATTGCGGGCGATGATCTCCCTTCCGTCCTCGCGTCGCCACGTGATCTTGGGCTTCGGATGACCTCGGGCTCGGCACACAAGTTTGGCGGACCCGCCCTCTGGCACCATCATGTCTCCGGAGGTCTCTTCGTTGATGATGTCTGGTGGAATCACCACCTCCAAGGTGGCGGTCTGAAAGCGAGCACACGAGTTTGTCAATTGGTATTCTAAAGAAATAACAAAAACACGCATGCGCCCAGTTGGCTGGCCTGCTCTACACATTTAATTGGAATACTTGGTACCCCTTAGCATCCTAAGCAAGCTTATTTAAAGACACCTTTGCGAAGGGTACTTTTCATATTATAAGCTCCCGCCTAAATCGTACAAAAAAGTGCAATTTAATGTTTTGGCTTTAACCTTTTCCAAGTGGTCTCTGGCAATTTTTGTCATTATATTATTTTTTGTTAGCCTTCTCTTCCTGTTCGACCTTAAAAATGTTATTAATATTATAAATCATTAATTTTCGATTCTTTGAATGAAATGTATAATTATTAGAATTCTGATTTTAATTTAATTTAAATTTTTACCATTTACCAATTAAAGGGCAATGGCAATTTTAACAAGAAAGGAAGCTAGCTTCGGCAAGCCGAAGCTTATATACCCTTGCAGTCATCAAATATGTCGAACAAAACTCATAAAGGCTAGACAACATCGAAGCTAAGACGATTTTTCTATTCATTTTCCATATTTTTGACTATAGATCATATGGGAGCTATACGATATAGTTGTCCGATTTTGATCAAATTTAATTCGTAATTCAAGAGTCGTAAGAAAACTCTATATTCCAAAAATCATACTTGTCTGATGAAAAACAACGATGTTATAATTTTATTTCCCTTATTTCTATATAGATTTTTCGATCTTTCCTATGGCAGCTATAAGATATAGACGACCGATTTTTATGAAACTTTTTTCTCAATATAAACGTTGTTAAAAAACTTTATATTCAAAAAATCATGCTCGTGGGATAAAAAACAACGATGTTATCAATTTATTTCCATTAATTATATATATATTTTTCGATCTCTCCTATGGCAGCTATATGATAGAGTTATCCGATTTTGTTCAAATTTAATACGAAATTCAATAACAGTTAGAAAACGCCATCTTGAAGAATTCAAGTCGATCTGATCAAAAACAACGGAGTAAGAATTTTTTATTTCATTCTGTCGTATGGGAGCTATCCGATATAGTCGGCCGATCCGGCCCGTTCCGACTTATATACTGCGTGCAATAACTACACACATTTTGGGAAAGTTTCAGCGAGATAGCTTTAAAACTGAGAGACTAGTTTAGGCAGAAACGGACAGACGGACAGACGTACAGCCGTATTCCGATTCTACTCGTGATGCTGATCAAGAATATATATACTTTATGGGGTCTGAGGTGTCTCCTTCACTGCGTTGCAAACTTCTGGCCAAAATTATAATACCCTTTGCTCTGCAAGGGTATAAAAATAACAAGTCAGAAACCAACTTTAAATTGAACTCGGTTAAACTAGTAAAGACTTCGTAATTAATGCTTTTTGGGTTTAAACTCATATACATAGAGTATGTTTAAAATGGTGCAATGGGAAAACTCTTTCTGTCCGTAATTTTCTTATTAAATTTAAGCTTATCGGTATAAAAACCAGATGCAAACAATCGCTGGACATGAAGGGATATTTTACTGCTTACATTATTTACTACACAACGCTTTTATAATGTCGTGATTTAAGGTAAACAACTTTAAAATTGCACTTAATGCAACGATTTAACGATATTGCTCAACGTTTTAGCTGCACTCTGCGACAATTTGCCGTCTCATTAAAAAAGCCCAGTGTCCTGGACCGTTCTCCCATTTTTTCGCCCTTTTAACATTTGATTCGCTCTGCGGTTGCCGGCTGCTAGCAACAATAACCGAATTGCTGCTATCATTGTCGTTGTCATTGTCATTGTCCCGCTGCAGTTGACAGTTGTGTCATAAAATAAAGTTGACGTCACAGGGAAAGAGAAGAGGCTTTCTGGCAGGAAAAAGGGGAAAACCCCGAACGAGCCAAGCGCGAAATTTATGCGATAGTGGGTAAAAAAGGCTCGGCGAGCGAGAAAGCTGGAGAAATGTCAAGCCTGTTTGCTTTTTATTTGTCTCATATTTGCTTTTCACTCAATTCGCTTTGTTAGGTTGATTTTATTACAGCCCGGTGGATGGGTGGCACCACCCACTGCCACCCCCGCCACTTTCCACATTTCACCCACACACGCCACACACACACACACATTTTCTCCATCATCCTCGCAGCATTAATGAAATGAAATTGAAAACGCAATCGTTTTGCACATGTCGTTTAATGGTGGGGTGGTGCTGCATAAAAAAACTCAGTTAAACTCGAGTAACAGCCAGCGCCACATGAGAACCCTGCACACACACGCTCACAGGGAAGCTCCCCTGGAAATCTCCAGAGGAAATTCTCCCCTTTCCCATATACACACACACACACACACACACACACACAGCATAAGCGCCCTTTGATGACGTCAACATTGCAGCGACGCTGTGTTTGTTATTTATTTTTGTCATTAAAGCGCTTCATTGTTTATATATCGTGTTTAAATGTCACTCCCCCCCCCCACACACACACACACACACACACAAACAAACACTCTCGTGGCAAAAAAAGGAGATGGTCGGGATACACACACACACAGTAACAAACCCGAAAAAAGAGCCTCGGCTTTCCCAGAATAATTTCATAATACCCCTGCTTTGTTTGAAGTTTTGTATATCCGCTTCGGAAATCGGAATTGATACGCTTTTTCAGAAATTAAAAAATTAGGCTATGGAAAACGTAATGATTTGCCCAATTTGGGAGTTCCATACAGAAAACTTAGCTGGAAAGTAGCTTTAAGGCTTGGTGTACCTTCACTTAAAATACAGTGTATTATTAGCAGAAACTCTGAAGCATAGTTCGGTACGAGAGCTTCCCCTAGAACGTGTTAAGAACAATTAAATTCCGGCCATACCTACTCGGCCGAATAATTCCTTAAAAATTTAAAACCATAAAAATTAGCCAAATTATAAACAAATTTTCGTACTAATAATCTCTAATAATGATACCCTTGCAAAGGGTATTATAATTTTAGATTAGCCCGTATGCATTTTGAGTTATTTCTACATATATCATATAGTTGCCATATAAGTGAGAAAAGAATGGAATTAGTTTTTTTCTGCATTAAAATCGAACCTTTCAGCGTCAGGAATAAAGTGTACAGTAATGATACTTCTCATGTTTCGCCGAATTTTCAGTTCCCTTTCTCAATTTTATGGTAAATAAAAATAATTTTTCGAGCTTGCCGATTGGAACTAAAGGATTAAGTCGCCCGATACAACATATATATACATATATAGCCAGCCAGATATATAGACAGATAGGAACAGACAGACAGATTACGAATAAATATACTTTATGGGGGCGAAGTGTATAAAAGTCAAGTCAAGCTTAGTCAAACGTTTAAAAGGGTTGGCTTAAAAGAGCCTATGCAAAGTCTAACCTTCTAACTTCCTATCCTAATTCCCCAGTCCAAGAGACAGGATTTGCTAACACAGCCTTAGAATCACCAAAAAATTATCAAACTCGATTGCTGCCTACGTGTATGCAACACTATTTTAACCAGGTAGCTTCGCTTATGCAACACTATTTTAACCAGGTAGCTTCGCTTATGCAACACTATTTTAACCAGGTAGCTTCGCTCACGGGTTTGCAACAGTTTAGCTTATCAAGTTGAGTGAACGGTATCCTAAAGTGTGAAAACTCGACTGTAGAGCTTATTGCCTGAGTGAGTGAATCGATTACTGACTAATTTTTTGCAGTGCTGAAACGCTTTCCCTGTCTCCATGACTATTTGTGGTTACCCCCCGTGGCCCTTTCACGTTGGGCCAAGGCCAGGAGTGTGACTTTTATTGTAGCCTCGACAGAAAACAAATGACAACTTTTCCGGGGGCCGCCGCGTTGCGACATCGCGTCCGCTCCGAAATCGCAGCACTCACCTGCATCTTCATGGGATCCGTGTTGACTTGACACATGTATTTGCCGGCATCCTCCATTTTGACGCTGCGGATGTTGAGGGTCCATGTGTTGTAGTCGTTGTGCTGCACCGATAATCGATCATTGTTGGTTATCACGTGCTCGTGAATGGCCAGAATTGCCTTGGCATCGGCCTTAATCCAGGCGACCTGATGGTGCCAGTTTGCCAAATGGAAACGCGACGGGGAAGCGGGTTCAGCGGGGAAAGTCGAGGGAAATCGGGGAAATGGGAATTGGAAGTGGGGATAAAGGGATGACCATTGTTGTTGTTGAGTTGATGACAGCGTCGGTTTGAATGCCAGTGCGTGTGTGTGGGTGTTTGTGTATTTGAGTTTGTGTTTGTGTGTTGATGAAGACAACGGTTGGCCGTTGTTGCATGTCAAAGTGTTGTTTGTGTTTCAGGATATCCCGGTGTGGGTGTGTCGTTGTGTGGGTGTGGCGAACGCCAGATGTTCGGAAATTGCAGTTTGATATCCCCAGCCACAGAAAAAGTTTCGGGGTCATCATATTTAGTTAATGGCATTATGAGCAATATTCGCGCATTGTCACCGTCGTTTGGTGGTGGTGGTGGTTTTGTTGTTGAGTTCAATATTTCGTTGAGGTTGTTGAATGTTGTCGGTGAGTTACCGGATTCGAATGTTGTTCAACGTTTCGTTGTTATTGAATTACCCGATTAAAATTGAGTTGAATATTTTCGGAAATTTCAATAAGTTTTAATTGACGCAAGAGAATCAATTTGTGGTTGTGTTGGAAGTTCAAGTGTTGGTGTATTTGTGGTTGGGTGGTGAAGTTTTGGAGGCGGTTTTCGGAAGGTTTGACATTTGTGTCAGCGTCGTCGCAATGGATGCAATGCATCCGAAAACAGTGTTGATAGTCGGTTTGAGTTTGGGTTTGGGTTAGGATTAGGGGTCGTTGTTGTATTGTGTTGGTGTAGCATTGTTATTGGTAGTTTTGTTGTTGCCATCGTCAGATGTCAGCGCAATTTGACGCCATTTCCATTTTGCAGAGGAGCAGTGGCAAAGTTTTTGCAAGTTTTCGGTTTGTGTGGGTGGGTTTGGTTTTGGTTTGGGTTGGGTTGGTTTTTTTCCGGTGGTTTTGCCATCGAGTGCAGATTGTTAGAGTCATTGTTGGTGGTGTTGTTATGGTCGGTGGATATGAAAAGGGATATTTCAAGTGCAATTAGTGGAATTGGGTTTGCGGTTTTCGGTTTTTGGTTTTTGGATTTTGGTTTTAAGCGTCCGTCGTTGGCCATTTGGCGAATGGCGAATGGCGAATGGATTTGAGTGTTTTTTGTGGACATGGTTTTTGTTTTGTTGGGGTTCGTGGAGAGAAGAAACATTCAACAATTAGTTAACATTTGCGCTTATGCAGTCGCTTCGGATTCTTATGCAGTCCTATACATTTCTTTCGTTTTCGTAACCAAAGAGCAAAGATAAAAAACGTACATACAATGGGGGCAACGTGTAGAGTTTACATGTGCGCCGCACACATACTCGTACAAGTACAAGTACAAATACAAGTACAAATACTAGTACAAATACAAGTACAAGTACAGTTGGGGACAGACAGAGACAAAACGAAGGGAAGGAACACAAGAGTCATGAATTATGGGTGCAGTTGGCGGTGCGTTGTGAAGCGGCTAATCAGTTGGCATTAACATGGCATGCACAATTAGAAAAAAGAGTGGATTAACGTCAAGGGAATGGGAGCGGGGGTTGACTAAAAGGATATTAACGGTAGCGTGTGGCAATGCATGTCTTTGTGTCTCTCTCTCTCGGTCTCTCGGTTCGTGTGAGTGTGTGTGTGTATGGTGTGGTGTAGTGGTGTGTATGGTAAGGTACGGTGCAAAGCAGGCAATGTTGCAACACTCACAGTCAGCCCATCCCACTAATCCTAGCCCCTGCGCCACCTCCCTGCTCCTCTGCTCCGCCTGGTAGTTTTAATTAACATTATGATGTGCCGACTGAGCGCAGTCTACGGGTTTTAGCTAATAGGCTTAGGCGGCTTTGTGCGGACCAAACGAAAACGGGTTTCGCAAATCCGGAAAGTGAAACGGGGAACGGTGGAAAAGGAACTAACGATAAAGTCGGATCGGTACACTCAGGCGAAAACTGGACAAATAGGCTTGGTAGTGGGAAATCCTCTAACCTGTACGAACTTTTTCCATTTCCGAATGGTGTCTTCGCGGTTCAGAATTCCCAAGTCATTATTCTGAGGAAGTAGCGTATATATATGGCTTTAAGAAAGAAGTTTTTAGTTAACAGTTTAATTATTTAAGCCTAGATTGCTTGGCAACGGATTCTACTTTTAGACATAAGAAAGTCATCAATTAGAGCCGCATATTTACAAATGGTTTTTCAAGAGTTCAGTCCCACATGAATTTTTTTTTTATGCACAAATGATTTTTTTATGTTTTCATTCATTTGAACTCCTTTTCTTAATATAAGAATTATATTTGTATGCCATAAAATCGTTATTATGAGTATTAATTGTGTAAAATTGGTAACCAATGTAGAAACTTACTTAAGCTGCCCTTTGATTTTGAAATTTACAAATGTGTTGTTTAATTATTCTTTATTATTATGCTATTATTGCAAGTGGAAAACATGTTCTCACAGTGCATGAAATGAGGGCCTTAAGCCCTCTGAGCTCCTCTTATCTACGTATCTAAATTTGTAGCCAAGTTAAACAGCACTGAGTGCATATGGAAGACCCTCTTAACTTTTTTGTTGAATGCGTAACGAGAAGAGAAACTAAAACCCCTTATCTTTGGCTTATTCATAGCTTCTGATTGGTACAACTTTTGACTAAAAAGTGATAAAATATTTGCCATCAGTCCTTTGTGATCTGCCAACTCGGCAGCCGTTTCCAGGTTTATATTTTAGCGGGTCCGGCAATCCAATAAGCAGGAAAGCCAATACAGCTGAGACTCAGATCCGGGATCCCGTTTTCCTTCTCTGTTTTTCTTTTTTTTGTGCTTTATTCGAGTGTGTCAGTAGCGGAAAGGGAAAAAGGTGGGATCCGAAAACGTGGAGCTGGTGGGGGTGATGGGTGATGGGTTATGAGCCCTCTCGGAAAATAAATAACCATGGACAGCAGCCAGGACGAACGTTTGATGTTGCAGCGCGTCGACGGCACTGGCGCTTTATTTATTTACTCAATAAAGCAAATTTATTGAGTAATGCATGGATAAGGTGGGGTGGGGTGGGGTGGGGGAATGGGCTTTCGGCGGAGGGCGTTCGGGGCGTTGGGGACTTCAAACAAAGGCTCAAACGGATTGTGACGAAAATCAGGCAAACAATGAGGGACCAACAAAAAATCCCAGTGAAAAAGAAATGCAAAACGGATTGTAAAAAATGTTCAAATGTGAATGCAAATAAAGCGAGCAAATGTCATAAAGTAAGTCTACAGTTACTACATGGACAACACGACTACATAAAGCACAACGCGCACGCACACACTCTCATTCGGCCGCACTTTCGCACACTGGCACACAGGCACGCGTATAGATTATATATATATTTACAAAACTGGTGCAAAGTTTGTTTCGGTTTGAACTCGGTGCGCTTGAATTTATTTTATTAATATTTCTTCGTATTTTACTAACCAAAAAAAGAAAACAGTAAGGAAGCCCGAAAAGTGGGCTGAAAACGAACTGAAAATCGGGAAAGAAATTTCAAACAGGGGACAGAGTTATACATACACTCGTACATATAAGGTAAGAGCGACAAAAGCACAACACACAAATGAAAACAATGCCATGGAAATCACATTGTTCGCATGTTGTTGCCATTGTTGTTACACAACTGCGTATCGCAAATCATCCGATGATTTTCTGCAAAAGAGATCCTTAAATATTCATAGCCGGGAGGATTGCATTTCTTTATAGCATGGTCACACTTTTATTTCAATATGCCTTTAATATAAATAATTAATCACTGGTCGAAGATGCGGATCCCAAAATCAACCAATTAACCATGTTTCTCAAGTTAAACCATCCCAAGTTTTATTTTATTTTAATTATATGAAATATCTTTAAAGGGGTTTTGTCCTGTAGCAGTCAAATTGAAATGCTTCAACTGCACGGTACGCCATCGCGTTTGATGTTAGCTTTTATCCAATGCCTCGCAATTTATTTTATTATGCTCAAAATAATTTGTATGTATATATTTGTTGTTTAAATGAAATGACAGGGGAGCGTCTCTCCCGTTTTTCTGTCCACATCGGCCAACTCTCTGCCGTTTGGTTTGGTTGTTTTTGTTTGATTGAAACATCGAAGGATTTATATGAAATGGCGTTTTTATTTATGATGCCATTTCGTTGATTAACACTCTTCGACGGTCGACGTAAACACGCAGAGAGTCGGGGACAGAAAAAAGAGAGAAAAACAGCAAGGAGGGGAAGCATTTGAACTGCAACATACCCCTTACTTATGCCAATCCAAATGGGGTCATCAAAAGTCGGAGACTTTCAATGGCAAAATGGTGTAGCGTCAAGAATCAATAAAGAGAATTATATAGTCATGCATACTCTCGACTTTGCTAGTTAAAAGAAGGAGTAAATGGTTGTCCGGCCAATTTAAAAGCTTTGTCATCGAAGCTATGCCTGACCTCATAAATGTCTCAGAAACTTTATACACCTCTCTTTGGTGAATGGGTATGGAATGTTATGATATTGTTGCTATTTCACAAAAAAAGCGCATTCAAGAATCAGTCATAGAACTAAAAGTTTTAGTCTAAAACGAAAAACCCCAAACTATCGGTAAAATTTACAGGTGACCTCTAATTGTTAGGTCTCGACGTCCTCGCAGACAACAAGGCTGAAGGCGTGGCAAATTTTGAACAGCGCCATTTACTGCGTATTTAGTTCCAGAAATTATTTCCAAAAAACATTTTGGCATGACACCAAATTTTACCAAGCTTGCGCTGCGGTTGAATGACTACGATCTACATTTTCAATCCTAATCCTCTTCTTCGGTCGGACAAACCGACGGACAGACATAGATTGGCTCCTCTGATGGTCCTGGTTAAGAATATACATTCACTCTATTCGCAAGTGCTCCCTTCGACCTGTCACATCCTTTCAACAAATACAGTATACTCTTTTAATCTACGAGTAACGAATATAAAAATTCGATCAAGTTCGTTTGCAAGAATTTTGTAGTGATTTTTATATCAATGCATGTTATATTTTTTCCGTTAAAAGTATATGCCTTATATAATAGTAAATATAACGAACTCAATCACCTACGCTGCATAGTTTCTTATTGTTTTTTTCGCAGTGCTTGATTTTCTGACTGATTTCTGAGATTTTATGAGGTAACAGAATTTCGTGCATGCATTTGAGAGTAAGAGTAATCAATTAGGCAATCCATGTAATCCGCACAGCTTGACATACCGCTCATGGATTCATATAATTCCATAAGACCCCATGTTGATCGCTTAGAACGAATAAATTTTGAGATGATGGGATAACCAGGCTTTAAACAGATTAAATCCTCGCTGACACAATGACTTAACTTGTTTTCATTGTTTTCGCGATGCGACCTCATATACATTTCCCCCTGAGCGGCGCTGAATAGTAGCTATTTTACATTTATTATTGTGCTTTTTATTTTTGAACGACGAACGATTGTTTATTGTTGTTGACAACAATCGCTTACAGTTGGCGGTTTTTTGTGCGCTGCTCTTTTATCGCTTAAATTCTTTGTCACAATGCCGGAGTCGGGAACCCGGAACCCCGGAGCCCCGGAGCCCCGGAGCCCCTGAACTCCGGATTCGCCGCTTTGTGAGTGTTATAAATTAAATGTAAGCGCTAATAATAATATAATACGATGATAAAAACAATAAGCTATGCATTTTCGGTCTCGGTTTCGCATCGCACAAATTGTGCCATGTTTATTTAAATTTATTTTGATGCCGCCGCTCGATTCGTCGATGCGATGCGATGCGATTCGATTCGAATCGATTGTTGTTATTTTCGCTACTGTTATTATTTGGTCCTTTTGTCTCAGTTGTTGCTTTTGCTTTTGTTTTTGCTGTTACTGTTGTTGTTGCTGTTGCTGTTGCTGTTGCGGTGCATCGAGGCGTTTAATATGCAGAGTGCTCTATATATACACAGGGATAGCTATTTTTTGTACTATATACTTATGTCGTAAATATTGTATGGTGCTATGGCTGTTATACTGGTAGTTAACTATATATATATGCGTATACGATACATGTAGAATAGGTGCGCTTAACGGTTACATAATTGCGATTATTGTGGTGCAGTTCGAAACTCTTTAATTTTATTGGTGCCTTTTAGATCGTAAAATCGGTAGAACAGTATTAAGTTATTTAAATATTGTGCACTTGAAATGGCAAATGAAACGGAACGGAAGAGCCACGAACTGAAACGGAACGAATCGCAAAAGGAAGAGGAAAACAAACCAAGGAATCGAAACGGAAAACGGAAACGGAAGTGGTGAATTCAACGCTGCGCTTGAAACCGATACATACCTTCACTGGGGCTGACGAACCGTCACCACTCACCCGATGACCTCCGAGGTTGTTCACCACGCATGTGAAGGTCGCGTCCCGACCTTGGGCGATGGTCACGTTCTCCAGCGGAATCACAAAGTCCGGCTCGAAGGCGCCCACTGAGGAGATTTTGTTCGAAACGGTAAGATCTTCATTTCAATTGACATTTCCATGAAGAGAAGACATTG